TCATGCAACCTGGTCTTGGCCTGGCCTTCCTGTATTTCATTTGTCATGGAACGGCTCAGTAATGCCAAGGACAGAGGAAAAGAGAATAATTGTCTCAGCATGTTGTCTCAGGGAGGGTCTCTAAAAACTGAAATGGGAGTCAGAAGGAAACAGTTTTCTGTAGAAAGTTTAAAATTCAGAGAGGCAGCCTCCAATCCAATGCTGCAGCTGAGGGACCACCTTTTCTAACAGTGATCTTCAACTTCCTAGGACAAAAATATACAACAGGGGAAAGTGGTAGATGAACGAACATTACTCCTCAAAGAATGAAAGCCTGATGGATAACATGCCAATCTGACCGTGTTCCATTACTTAAGATCCTTCAATGGCTTCCCATTACCTAGAGAACAAAGTCCAAGGGTATAGCCTGAAATAAAGCCCCCTATGAAATGGTCCCTACCTAACCGCAGCTCCCAATCTTATCATTTGGGCCTTGGAATTAGCAAGCTGTTCATAAGTTCCTCACCCAGACACCAGGACATGCCCTATCTCTGGTGCATCATTGCTGATGCTGCCCCTCATCCTGGAGCACCTCTTCCTCCATGCTTCCATGCTCCCTTCTACTTGGCCTCAAGCACCTCACCTTGGGATGCTCCCTGAACCCCAGGATGTATTAGGTCCTTCTCCTCAGCAGCCCCAATGTAACTGAGAATCCCTCATGTTGTACGTTAACTGTCATTTACTGCAATTATGTGTGTCTGCCTCTCCCCCCACTAATGTGAGTTCCTCTAAAGCAAGAACCATGTTTGACTCATATTTATAATTTAGCACAATCCTCGGCATATTGTAGGTTTAGTAGACATATTGTCTGCTATGCACTGAATGTTAGTGTTCTCCAAAGTTCATATGTTGAACTCCTAGCCCACAATGTGACAGTTTTAAGAGGTGGGGCTTCTGGGAGGTAGTCAGGTCATGTAGGTTGCTCATGAGTGGGAATGGTACCCTTATAAAAGGTACTCTAGAGAACTCTTACCCTCCTTTTTCCACGTGAGAACACAATAAGAAAACAGCAGTTTGCAACACAGAAGAGGTCCCTCACGAGAACCTAACCAGGCTAGCACACGTACTTGGCCTTCCAGCCTCCAAAACTGTGAGAAATAACTTGCTGTTGTGTATAAACCACTCAGTCTATTATACTTTTTCATAGCAGTCTGGACTTACACACTGTGGATCTGAATTCCACCAGATCTCAGAGCTCCATGAGGTTAGTGATTCATTCATTTACTTATTCCAGACATACTTATTGAGTACATTTTTTTTTTTTGAGACCGAGTTTCGCCCTCGTTATCCAGGCTGGAGTGCAATGGCACAATCTCGGCTCACCGCAACCTCTGCCTCCTGGGCTCAGGCAATTCTCCTGCCTCAGCCTCCTGAGTAGGTGGGATTACAGACACGCGCCACCATACCCAGCTAATTTTTTGTATTTTTAGTAGAGACGGGGTTCCACCATGTTGACCAGGATGGTCTCAATCTCTTGACCTCGTGATCCACCCACCTCGGCCTCCCAAAGTGCTGGGATTACAGGCGTGAGCCACTGCGCCCGGCCTCTATTGAGTACATTTTTTAATGTCAGGGTCCATTTTAGGTGCTGGGGAAACATCTGTAAGCAAAATAAGACCTCTGTCCTCATGGAATTCACATTTTAATAAAGGAAAACATTGTGTCAAATAAATGACCAAAGGCAACAAACAAGGTTATCATTGAGGGCACGCGGGATGAGTTATCCCTATTTTTGCATTATGAGAGAATTTAAGTAGGGCAAACCTCAGAATAATCAAATACCAAGAACAAGAGGAGAATCTCCATAGACCTGCCCACAGGAAAGTGAATTGTAATTACTAAATGAAAAGAAACAATACACCAGCGCTACATTAGATTCAAAATGATCCGTTCAAAGTACTCAGACAAATAAGAAGACTTCCAAGTCCCTTAGAAAGACTACCACACTGTAAGGGAAAACAGAGACAGGGCAGGAGTTTATCAAGTTCTAGTTTTGCCTATCATTTCCGTTAGTGTTTTGAATTTTCCTTTTTCTAACTTGGTCTGAATTCAAATAAATATTTGTGCTGTGAGCTAAGATTAGGATATATTTTTATCACTGATTATAGTTATTTTTCTATTATCGACACTGTTTTTCAGAACTGCCTTTACCCATAAGCTATTAAGTAATACTTCAGACAGACTTTTGAAGCTTTCTGCTCTCTATTTGGGCAGCATAAATGCGTGTGTGTGTGTGTGTGTGTGTGTGCCTGCGCTCACACATGCATGCATGTGTATGTATTTTATTTTCTTTAGTTTTCACATGGATAAAGTCACCAGAAACATCTTTGTGTTTTTACGAGACTTATTTCAAAATGTCCAGGGCATCCTTCCTGATTAATAGATAAAGGATTTGTGGTTGGGAAATTGCTCCTTTGTCTCTAAGTATATAATAGAGAGGTAGCTCAATACAATTGTGTGTAGGAGAAAATTAATCCTAAATGCCAAACCCAAACCCTGTCCTGGAGAAACTCCATGCTCAGGATTGTTGCACTGCAAAACTGAATGAGCACCACTCCACAGCAACCAATGCCTCCTTCATTCCTGAGCCACGTCCTTGGTAACAAGAGTGTTGCAATCTTTTACTGATGAGAGTGCAATTCCAACGTAGTGTGATTTAGCAGTGTTTAAGAGTCTCAGCCAGGTGTGGTGGCTCACAACTGTTATCCTAGCACTTTGGGAGGCTGAGGCAGGTGGATCACAAGGTCAGGAGTTCAAGACCACCCTGACCAACACGGTGAAACATCATCTCTACTAATAAATGCAAAAATTAGCTGGGTGTGGCAGCACATGCCTGTAATCTTAGCTCTTCAGGAGGCTGAGGCAGGAGAATCACTTGAACCTGGGAGATGGAGGTTGCAGTGAGCTCAGATCGAGCCACTGCACTCCAGCCTGGGTGACAGAGTGAGACTCCATCTCAAAAAAAAAAAAAAAAGTCTTTCAGGATTCATTAGATAGTGCATAGTCTGTATCTTTATTCTATCCAAATAGGGGTAAATCCCAGGGAGGAAGGGCTCTCTGCCTACCATAATTCCATCAGAAATGATGATGAAATCTCGGAAACCAGCAGAAGCATACCTAACATCCTGCAGAGAGATGATAGCACTCTTTGGGTGCTCCTATTTCGTCCTACAGGCTAACAACAATACAAAGCTATAACTGGATTTTCCCTCCTTTATAGAGTCTCTCTTTTCTACCCCTTCCTTCTCAATTTGCATGTGATTTATTACAACAAGGCCTGGCTCAAATGTCACTCCTTCTCTAAAACTGACTTCCACCTAAAATTTCTGTTTCCTCTACTCAACTAGAGCATTTGTTTGTGGCACTGAACACATGCTCTCCTATGCTATACCTATTCACTTACTGATCTCATCTCCCTTCCTATAAGACAAAGCCTTGGAGCATGGAAGTCATGGCTTAAAAAGAGCCACCAAGTGTAGTTACAGCACAAAAAAAGGTACCCAGTGATTATTAGGTAAGTGAACAAATAAATCCTTATTATGCATCCACTATGTGCCATGCTTAACAGACACAATTTATGTCTGGACAAGCCTCACAGGGTAGTGACATGAAGGAATGCATGGACAATGCCACCTCATATACAGATGATGCTCAACCAATTTCAAATAACCATAATAAGAATAAAACATAGGCCCCGAGAGAAGACTCATAAGATGTCGCAAGGGATTGTTATCTACAAGAAGGAACACAGCTTCTCATGAAATTTACTCAGGGAGATAGTACAGATATCTTAGACAATCAAGCTCAGCTTAAACAAAATGTGCAGTGCAATCCTTTGATGCCACGGTGTTCTGAAAGAACTCTACCAAATTAAGTCTGATTCTTTTTGCCTCAACAATTGGCCTTAGAGACTGAACTTACACTTGGCTGAAGCGCCTTTGCTCTCAGACAGAGGTCGCAACACATCAGCTACAATGGTAATAAATGAGTAATGGCAAAGTCCCACTGTTTTTTCACAGCTACTAGCTCTCAGGGAAGAAGAACAAAAGGAAAAAACAGTTTTCTGAGCCTTAATGTTACATTATGAGAATTTTCTTTCATCTCAAATAATGAGACCCTTGGGAACACCAGGCTTAGTGGAGGTAAAATAATACATATGTTATATTTTAGATGGGGCACACAACAACAAATCGAGCCACTTTTATCTAGAGCTTTCCTATTTGCCAGGTCAACATCACAAAATCAGACTTTAAACTCATGTAGTTCCTATGATTTCAACTGTCTTTCATCTGTGTGATTGCATTTAATTTATGAAGCACAGCCATCTGTGGGATAAGAGCCTCCATTTGTTGGATAAGGAAACAGAATCACAGGGTACTTGATATGGTTTGGCTGTGTCCCCACCCAAATTTCATCTTGAATTGTAGCTCCCAAAATTCCCACATGTTGTGGGAAGGAGCCAGTGGGAGGAAGCAGTGGGAGGTAATTGAATCATGGGGGCGGGTCTTTCCCATGTTGTTCTCGTGATTGTGAATAAGTCTCATGAGATCTGATGGTTTTATAAAGAGGAGTTTCTCTGCACAAGTTTTTCTTCCCTGCCACCGTCTAAGATGTGACATGCTCCTCCTTGCCTTCCACCATGATTTTGAGGCCTCCCCAGCTACCTGGAACTGTGAGTCCATTAAACCTCTTTTCTTTATAAATTACCCAGTCTTAGGTATTCTTTATCAGCAACGTGAAAACGGACTAACACAGTACTAAAATGACAAATGCAAAAGTCATGCAACCAGCTTCAGTGGGAATCAAAACATAGGAAACCTACTTCTAAGTCCAAGGTTGTTTCTGCTGCAATCTATCACCTCATAGATTTGAGGACATACATAGTCATTGATGTAAACATGTCACTTGTTTATAAATAAAACAATCGCGTGGTGCATTAAATAGAGTTGGGTGAACTTTACCTCTTTAAGGCAGCCCATGAAGTTGTTGCTGACGGGGGAGCCAGGCAAGTCAGCAGTACTTGGGCTTCCTCCCACATAGAAGAAGTCGTCCGAGCCCAGCATGGTGTAGTCCTCTTGAGTGTAGCCCGTCGTGGTGAGAATGCCATCCACAGAGATTGTCACCTGGTGGAGGGATATAGGGACAAAAAAAAATCCCAACAATGACCTTATGGTCCTATCATAACCCAGTGGCTTCCCCTACTTGTGGCATCACTTTCATTAAGATTTTCATGAGGTATACTTTCTAATTTGGTTGGATTTTGGTATGTGCAGCCAAGTTCCATTTTCTGGTCTGCCTCCCTGAGTCTCAAGCCTTCAGTGTTCCTCTGTGGACTCATGGAAGACTTTGTTAGAATTGCCAAGCTGGGCACCTTGTTCCACCCATTGCAATCTTTACACAGTCAGGCTAGAAAATGGAACCATCCTCAGACGATATCACTTGTCTCAGTTCATTGCTAAAATGATTGTTTATTTCTTACATGATTGTTATTCATGGTGGTCATGAAGAACAGCAAAGAAGACATCTGACAATGAAGTTTGTTAGGGGTTGGTCTTTGGTTTTGATGGTTTTATGTTTCCTTTTTTCTTTTCTTTTCTTTTTTCTTTTCTTTTATCTTTATTTACTTTTTCTTTCATTTTGTCTCACACCACGCTGACAAACATGCATTCAGGGAGGGAAGGAGAAGGGTCTTGGTTCTGATATGGTCCTGGATGATACATGCCATGGACTACCCCAGGATAACAACCCCTCCCCGCCTTTGCTGCCATCACCACCTCCAAGAGAAAAAATGACCCAAACCAAAAAGCCAACTCTAACAACAACAACAAAAAAGAAGGATGAGGAATAATAATCAAAACAAAAAAAATAATAATGCTCCACAGAAAAGAAATAGCACCCTTTTACCCAACATCCATGAAAGGAGCAGAGGGCAGAAAATAATGATGGGGCTTCAAAGCATGCACACAACATACACCAATATACCCATGCAGAAATTATCGGGAACCAAGAGAGTAGGCGGAAGAAAAACAAAACTAGGAAAGGAGGGGAAAACCTGGGGAAAGAATCAAAATCCACTCCACACTGACATGCATTGAATAAACTGAAAAACAAGATGGAAATGAAAAAAAAATCAAAACTAACAGGTACTCTTTTCTCTGCCTGCCACCTCCCTTACTAAATAAAAGAAAAGAAAAGAAAAGAAAAAGTCCAAACCCAACCCCAAAATATATGAAAGATGAAAGGAGAATGAAGAGTGGGGGAAAACAAAGAGAAGAAAGTGAAATTGGGTTGATGGTTGGTAGGTTGTTAGTAATGAGGAGGAAAATGAGGAAACAAATTCTGATGTGGGTAGGAAAATTCACGAGACAGGAACATGCCATGCAGCATTTGTATGGAGAACATAATTGGTGGATATCCTTCTGGCCACGGTAGGGGAGTAAGGTAAAAGAAGGGCAAGAAAGAGTATATAGGAAGTTGAGTACTTTCCTCCCCAGATCGCTTGTGGCAGCCGTAGCCACACAAAAGGGAAAGAGAAAAGGGACTAAGGAGTGGGAAGGAGAAAAAAGAAAGGAGGAAGAGTGGGAGGGGCAGGAAGGCACAGAGAGAAGAAAGTCCTCACTATAAATCTCTGTTGTCTCTAGTATGTAACTTGGAAGTTGCAAAATAAAAACAAAGCAAAACAAATTTAGCTGAATGGAGATACTTTAAAAAAAACATAATTTTTTAGGGAAAAAAAAATTAAAAACTAGAGAAAAGGAAGCCTTCCCCACAATATTCAACAAAATATCATTTTTAGGACAAGTGTATTCCCTTCCATTTTTTTTTTTATTAAGAAAAAGAAAGGCTTGCATTTACTTCAACAAAAATTTTAAAAGAAGAAATGAGTCTAAAGAGGATAAAAGGGGGGGTTGGAGAGGAAAAGGGGGGCAACACACGGCAAACCCAAAAAAAGAGACAATAAGAATGATATCTACCAGACAATGTAGTTTGTTTACCATAGCGTGTCCGATGCCTGAGTGCTTTGCGGAGAAGGGGGAAGAAAGGAAATTAAAAATTGTGAACAGAACGATTGTTAATTAAAAAAACTAAAAACAAAGATGAGTCGTTAGGGTGTTAGTACATTAGTCGGTTAGTAAAATGACACATTGCATGAATGATCTTGTGTTAGTTTCTCAAAAAAAAGGCACCCGACACAGAAAAAAGAGAGTGGGGGGAAGACAATGAGACCAGGACTCTATGGAAAACCATGCCACCTGGGGCACAGCCAGAAAAGGAGCTGCAGTCTACGTGCCATCGCAGCTCCCAGCTTCTTCCAGATATCTCTCAGACCAGACCTCACCCTTTAGAATTAGCACCATACTTACTTCCCAACAGCTCTTTTGAATGAATACCACCCACTCCCTTCCCACCCTCTAACACAAACCCATTCCACCTCTTCTGAAAGACTCCCAAAAGGTACCATCCACATGTAGATAAACAGATACAAAGAACTGAAATACAAATATTTTGGGGATCATTTTTTCACATCTGACTCTGACTACAACATGGATAAATGATCATGACTTCCTCCCCAAAAGGAAAAAAACTTAAAACATTTACGGATTAAACCTAGCATAGAAAGTCTGCATTACATAGTGTACTCTAGGTTTCCATAGATAATTAAACATCCATGACCTACTTCATTTTTGTGGATTGGTGCAACCAGAGAGGAACATTTTTCTTTCCGTTTAGAATTAACAGAATTCATTAAAAAAAGTTATAATCTTTCTTATTACTCAATAAGGTCATTAATTTGTTTATTTTTCCAGAATGCATTGGAATCTCTCTCCCCCAATTCCTCTTGAAAAATGCTTTTCGAGCTTTTATGTAACTTATTGTATGGATAGCACAGAAGCCTGGCAGGTTCAACGTGATTAGAAAAGCCCTCTGGAGACCGGAAGACTGATAACCTCAGTTTTGCGTTGGTGGTTTAACAAAAGTTAACACATAGAGGTAAAGCAACGAAAGTTATGACCATGACCTTGGACTCAGGCAAGGTCAAGGACCAACTACCACCCCGCCACCACATACAAGCACAGATTCCTCACTGCCTTGCTCCCTAATCCCAGTTATAGTTTGTAACAGATACAGATAGTCCACATTCCTTCCTTTAGTTGTAAGCCATAATAAAGTATCTGGCCTTGGCCCTGACCTGGCTTAAAGGCAAAACCATGTATAGATAATCACGAAGGAAGAAATGAGGAGAGTTCTGCTCCATTTGGTAATAAGTACTCCAGGAAACACCGGGTAAACTTGACTCAGATGAATTGTTGCCAGAAAAGCCATTCAATTTTACCAAAAATATGAATAAGCATGCTATAAGTTTGTTGTCAAATATTTATGGAGGTATTCACATTTTAATTGAAATAGGAATGTCCCACCATTCAAATGTATCCTAGGGAACTCAAAAAGATGTTATAAGTATTATTTTTAATGGGCAAAATAATAATCTTATATTCTTCACACTGAAACAATTGCATTTGCAAAATCAACTTTACCTTTCAGAGATTTTCCTCTCTTTCAATAAATTGTATTTGGAGGCAAAATTTAGTCAGAATGTCAATGAGGTTCAATGTTATGTTCACTTTCTCACAGAAGATTAATGCTTCTTCTGCCAAGATATACCCCCCAATACTGTAGGGCCTCTGTACCCTTGTCTAGAACAGGGAATTGCACTTAGCTGCATCGTTGGCACCAGACCGATGCAGTCACCTTTGAAACAGAATGCTCAGTCTGTAGATCATGTGCACGTCACAGCACATCTACACCCAGACCATGGATGAGCTCATAATCCTTCTGGAACATAAGGTGCTTTGCATATTTAGCCATCACACATGGCTGGGGAAGATTGTAATCACCATTTTGCAAATGGAGACTGTGGTGGAGAAAGGTCAAATGGCTTGCCCAAGGGCATGGAGCAGAGTTGGGCTTTAGAACATGAGGGTGGGATGTGGTGGTGGGGCGGGGGGACATCCAGGGTGGTTTTCTCTAGCTGCTTTGGCTAAAACAGCACAAACAATATTTTGAATTACAGTTTGGTTTATTCTCTCTCCATTTCAAGGGCTTAAGTGGGCCTGATACTATTTTAGAAAAGTGTTTTCAGTAGAAACAAAAGTGAGCCCTTCACAGGTGAATTGGAATCATTCCAAAATGGCAAGGAAGGGTGGTGGGAGAGAGTTAAGAGGAACAAACTGGTGAGAACCGTGACCTGATTGTGCTCTGAAGTACATGAAAAGTCTCTCCTCCACTGATTAACGCCTAAAGGGTGTTATTTTGTACTTGCCGATCAAAACGAGCAAAAGGTTATATTTCACTTTTAGGTCTAGTCTCTGCACCTCACAGGCAACAAGCCCTTATGTGTTAGCAAATGGATATTTGATTTGGGTTCTCCTGACAGTTGAAAAGTTCTCTCCTGGGTAAGTACAGATGGGGAATAATGAAAGGAGATATTATTGGCAATAGGGTTCTTTGGCCTTGGAGGAAAACATAGAACGATGATTCAAAAATATCAAATTCACAGATAGTAAGATGACTGGGGACTCTAAGTCTTGGGTCATTTGGCATCTTTACCTGAGATAAACTGTAATCTCCCAGCAGGATGGCTTTGTTGACATACCTAAGTGTGCAAATGTGTGTCAAATGTGTGCCAGTCTACACCATTTGTTTAGCATTAGTAAGTAGTTAGACTTTTATCAAACAGAAAACATATGCAAACACCTATCATTTCTTACACTTTCACATTTAGGCATTAAGTCAATCATATTGCAGAAGAAAAGTTTATAAGTGCTTTTTGATAAGCACTTCAGAAAGTGCAGTGTTTTCTGGTTATAGAGGATGGATGCCATCCAACTGGGTTTAATGACAGATTCGCAAGTAGCAAAACCAAGTGAAAATGGCAACCTGGGAAAAGCAGTCTCAGCACAGACTTTGATTTTTATAGGAAATTTTTTTAACTGATGTGGGCTGTAGAGGTATTATTATTATTATCATTATTATTAGTCATGAAATTGAAAACAACTTTGCTTGGCTAAGGCTTTCTGAGAATGTTGTCACCTGACGGAGTTGCCTGCTCAGAATCGGCAAGCGATGGGACTTCCCAAGCACGGACAGAACCAGGAAAGGCTGCTCCAAAGTTGACTTTTTTATTTGGGTCCTTCCACTTTCCAGGCCTCCCAGTCAACTGAAGCGTCTCGGAGGGAGAGACATGGGCAATAGAGTAGGACCACCGCATCAAGGAACAGAGAAACAGAGGAATTCAGAAAGATCTCGGCTAATTAACTCCAAAGCTAGAGGTTAACATAACACAAGAAAAAAAAAAAGTTGGAAATGGGTGGTAAATTAAAAGAGCAAAAGGAAGACTTCTCTGGAAGGAATTAAAATTATGGCATCGTGGCAATGGCTAACTTAATTAAAAAGAAAAACTTATATTCAAAGAATGAGGAAAATCTACCAAGCTGCAGAAACAAAATGCCGTCCCTAATTGAATTTAACAATAATATGATAAGATTCTAATGTAATTAAGAAAATGATAAAAGGAAAGCAGAATAAAAGGAATGAAAGAACTTATAGCTTTTATTATCTACACAACTGAGTTTTTTTCTTAAATAACAAGCACAAAGGGAGAATTGAAGTGCAAGGAGAAACATATTTTAATAATTTTCCTTGTGAAATTGCAAAGACTGGGAGAAGGTCAGACTTTAACATCTCCATCCCTGAATCTCTACCCCTCGTCACCTCACCCATCACCTGCTTTTCAGACTTACTACCCAGGCACCTAGAGGAGCCTTCCAGGCGTTCTCTCCCCTCAGCCATTACCTGCCGCAGATTGCGTGTCACTTTGACATCATGCCAGGCGTTGTCGTTGAATTTTCCATTCACTGGCTCCACAATGGCCTCAAAGGCCCCGGACCCCAGGTTAATGACCAAGGAGACCGCGCCATCCTTCAGAGCCAGGTTGACATAGTCAGCCGACTTGCCCGTGTGCAGGATGAGGCCGTTACGCTGCCAGGTCTTAAAGGAGAGGGTGATTTCATCACTGCTGCTCTGGATCGGGTTCTGAGACAGGTCGTAGCACAGATACTCTGAGCCTCGGAAAGTGGCCACATTCTCCTCTCGAGCTATAGAAAAAGAAAAGATGAGAGAAGTCAACACTTGTCTGGCAAGAGTCAGATCTATGCAAATACCAAAGAGAACCCACCACATGGGCATTGCCCCTGTTCTTATGCTGATACCAGCACAGCCCTCTCCTCGACCCTTCCACAAGTCGTATATTGAAACACCAGGGAAACTAGCAGCAGAGGTGACTGCAGAGAAATGACGTGTCCACACAAGTGTAGAAGACAAAACAAGATGGTGCAAAAGAGCTTGCTGCCTTTCCTTCAAATTTTCTCAAAGAAAGACCTATGAAGTGAGGCTTGGGTTGCTTTTACTTCAGGAATTGCTTTTAAGTGCTTGTACAAGAGCTGGTTTAGAATGGATAATTAACTGCTCTGACAAAGGACTCTTTAGCTCCAGGTACCTTTTATTGACCAATAACTAAAAATCAATTACCCAGAAAGATCTAGCTCTGATTTTCATCCATCAATAACTCAACTAACTTTGGTTTCTATGGTACATGGAACATGGCTGGGCTGTTGGAGGCTGGACCTGAGAAGGTGATATAGCAGGTAAGGAGAGGGGAAGATAATGAAATTTGGTATGTTTTGATAAGACAGCAAGACCACTGTTAAACTCAAGAATGTCTGCTCTAGGGTCTCCTGTTTTATATGATCCTGGTTGGACTATCCATGGCCACAGAACTAGGGTTCCACGGGGCCAAGATGGCATTCTAGTGGAACCCATATGATCTTTCAAAACCATATTTCAGAGCCTGGGACCCTGTAATGGCACACCCAAAAAGCCTCAAGCCTGTTTTCAGGGCTTGTGCAGGCCTCTTCCCTGGATCCATCTTTCTAAGGGCAAACCATACATATTGCAATAGGAATAGCCATGGGGGACTATTTGCAGAGATGTGGACAGGGCTTGCCCGTTAGGCTGGGGCAACCACATGCATTCATACCAGACCCTTCATGATATAGGACAGAGCCAAAAGTGGGAAGAGAAGGGAGTAGGCCAGGGGTTGGCTGGTTTCTCCCTGGGTGGCTACTTCGCAATGCCAGAAGGGAGTAGCAGGAATCCAGAAATTCTAAATTTGAACCTGGCTTTCCAGGTAGATATAAAGATATACTTATCAAGGCAAGACGATGAAATATATTTTATTTAATTATTTGTTGATTCTATCTATAATTTCAACACACAGTGTTATGACCTTCCATTTGTCTTCTTGCCAGACAGACTTACTTAGAATAGTCTACTTCATACCAGGGTTGGTCAAAAGCTATTAAAAAGCACTTCACTACTAAAAGCAAATGGCAATAATAGTTGAGATATGCAGTTTTCCTTTAAAAATTTGAGACTACAAAATAAGGTCGAGAGAATTTTATTTTCCCCGCTGGAACTACACTCCAGCCTTATTAACCAAAGCCAAGTCCACTTCAACGCAGATCTCTATTAAATATCACAGCCCCAGGTACGTTTCTTAAACAAAATAAATATTTTCTCATCATGAAGTAAGAGCTGTCGAGGAGACACTTTTACAATGTGAACAGACTACTCCCCACTACATATTGTTAAATTAATCTTAGCATTATGAGATCATTAAAACATCAACTTCAGCTTCATACTCCAGAGAGTTAAAGAAGAGATCAAATTTCTCTTGTGTGTTTCAGAGCACCCTGGTATCTAGCTGCATATTTCTGCTTGCACAGACACTGGTATAAGCAAAAAAGACCCGTTCACCTGTAAAGTCACCTGCAAGTCACAGGGTAGCTTGCACATATGTAAGTAGTTAGCACATAACTCATGCTGTACGCATTTTAGCAAAAATAGCCTCCCAAAGATAATAAAGCAGAAATTCAACACTGTCTGCCTGTTTGAAGTAGATCTATCCAATCCCCTCATGTTCTGTCTGTTGTCATGATCCCACCCCTCATTTCCAAAAAAATGTTTTGTTAAAATGCATTTGGACAAGTCCCTTTTCAGGAGACCTAGAGGTGACCCTGATCTAGAGTAGAAGGTCACAAAGCAAATGGGGTTATCACAACCAAGCTCTTTCTCTACAGACATGGATGTGCACAGGGCCAACTACTACGCATGTCCTTGGCACCACAGGTGGTATATTAATGGGTGTCTTCTATAAACATTTAAGTTATACCTTGTGTGCCCACTGAACTGAGATAAATGAGCAAGGAAAGTAGCGCCTATAAAGAGAAGCTTAAATTAATCATCCAGTACCCTTCAAAGGGGAAAAGTCTGACGCAGAACAGCAAGGCACCAGATATTATTTAATGTGCTACATGGTGCTTAATATTTTTTCATATAATTAGAGCAAGGAGTCTGTCAAAATAATAAATTTTAGAGCTACAAGGGACTTTAGAGATTGCCTGATTTAATGCCCTTATTTTATTAAGGAAGAAATTGATGACTAGAAATAAGTGAGTTGCCCAAGACGACACAGTTAGTTTGTGGTGCTCTGGGCTTGGGCATGTCCGGGCTTTTCTCTAAATATCCATTATCTTTTCTTTGGCCATCACTCTGGATAGTCCAGATGCTCCTATGTGACTTGTCAAAAGCCACAAATGATTCCATGGAGCTGTGCCTTGACTGACAAATCATCCCAAATTTTGAATAAATTGAGCCAGAAACCAATTCCTCTCACTGTACATTAATCACTCATTCACCAAAAGAAATGTTTTCCTTTCAGCCCCTAGATCTGTGTTTAAAGAAAAAAATACCTCTTTTATGTGGGAGGCCACAAAGGGAAAAATGGCATCAGTGTAAAGAAGAGAATATCACCATAAATAAATAAGAAATAAAACCAATGCAAGGAAGAAAAGGCCTATGCAAATCACACACATATTTATGCTAATCTCCATGCAAATATACCAACGAAGATTTTATGTGGCCAAGTGCCTTCCTTTGCAAATATTTAACAGAAACTGCTATAACAGTTCACAACCTTCCCAATCTTTTCATTCAAAGAAGAATTTTCTCAGTTTACCTCTTCCCTGAGCCAGAGGAAGCTACGAAGATCAGCATCACCCTGACTGTTGGGTTATCCCCATTGGTCAACAAATAACAGACAACTGAAAGCTTCTCTCTGAATCGTATCCTACATAAGCAAACTTATATCATTTTCAAGTAATGGAATAATTTTCCCCTACATGTGGGGTGAGAGGCACTAGCAGTGCATAACCCAGTCTTTAAAAGAGCAAATCAAGGGCTAGAAAGGAGAAAAAATGAGGACCTTACAGAAATCACTCTTCTATGCACTTGCACAACTGACGTGATTTTTCTCCTAAGAACCGCAATCTGTCCTGATTCCCTTCCAGTAGCTGAGACTCAAGCACTGCCTTATCACCTTGAAAACCATACTCAGTTGACAGTCAGGGCACCTAAAAGGGGCAAAACTAAATAGCGACAAACATTCATTTCTAACCTTATCAATCCTTTGAATCCTCCACTAGAAAAACAAATTAACACCCCAAATCTGTTTTTTATACTTGATGTTTATACCAAGAAGGAGGTTGAAGAGACAATGCAGTCACCTTGTATGCATTCAAGCTAAATAGGTGGAGAAAATGAATGCAGGGATTATGTAACACAGTACACAGCAGCTTAGCATAAAACTACAGCTTGGCAAGAGAGGAGGCACTGACATAGCTAATGGACTGTTTAGATCCATTTAAATTATATCATCCCAAAGTTTACAATCAATTGCATAAGTGTAAAAATAAAAGGTGTTATTCTCACTGCATGAAAAGCAGAGCTCAACTCTGTATGACAACAAATCAGTTACCAATTATTTGTAAGCGTACAATTGATTAAACACTAGATGAAATCTAGCTATGTATAACTGAAGATTTTAAATCAGTTTGTATAAGATATATAAAGTACTGATCTTTCAAATGGCTGGTTAATCCAATACTGACATATACTTAGTATTAATATACATTTACTTAATTCTGTTCTTCACTCCTCTCCGCCTAAAAGACACCCAACTTATAATTTATATAATAACAACTCTATTTCTCTGAGAAATTCCAAAGCAGACTGAAATACTCAGTGCTATATTTTATTACTATGCAAGTATGGGGAAAACGCATGTAACTGTTTAATTAGGCCTGCCATATGGCTCGGTGTCTCAAAATCCCAAACTGGGCTTTGAGGGCAAAAAATGTGAACTTCTGTAAGTGATGGGAACCACTGCATAATTTTACTGAGAGGGGTGGAAGGATTCAATCCATAGTTTTAAGAGATTGCATAATCTTTAAAAATACATTTGAACTACTTTTTCAGGGGCTGCCCAGAACTCGTTCAGCCTAGATGTTAATATAGTTCCTGGATATAGTGAGGTTTGCATTTCACTGGGCAAGAATGTAAGCAAAAGTTCCCAGCAGAACAACCTAAGAGAGGCAGAAACACCAGTGAGCCAGGGAACACAGGAGGAAGCCAAAGTGCAGATACTTAAGATCCAAGTGCAATCACAGAACGCCAAAGACCAAAGGCAAAATTTGACAGAAAAAGACAAAGAATTAGTCAAAAAAAGGGCTCAAAATGAAAACATGCCACATTGATAGAGAAGGATTCTAGGGCCATTTGCAAGCAGACATTTACGTGCATCTAGATGTGTGGATTTCCAAATGCTTTCTTAATCATTATTTGTATCCTCTCAATGCTCTGTGAGGTCATTGTACTATGATTACACCAATGTGAGGAAATGGAGACAGAGTTTACAGGGGTCATCCAGGGTACTATGGAGTGCCAGATCCAAAACTGTAACGCTACGATTTTCAGTCCATTGCTTTTGCTACTTCACCATACCACTACCTTCACAGGAAGTCAGATTCCCAAAGCAGATGTCTAGCACCCTATATCTGATATTGTGCAGCTGCATGAAGTTCAAGTCAGAGGTAAAACTACTGACAATGGTGGATAAGCCCTGGGAGGCAACAGGAAACCAAGCAGGGAAGGAGGGAAGTACATTGACTTTCTTTCCAAATTCTCAGCACCAAGTTGA